TACGTCTTGAGCTACCCTGTTGCTCTGCACAATTATTTTGCTAACGTGTCGCAACCAGGTTCGGCAACTTCATTGGCGAGGAGGCTGGCTCTGAGGAAGCGTCAGAACATGGCGCCAACGCGTCGGACTATGTATATGGAGATGATGCAAGCGAAGCACCTGTGCCGACAGGCCAGGAGCTGATGGAGCTTGACGGTAACGGCTTGACGCTCTCCCACTGTGTCCAACTTGACGACTAACCACTCGCTAGACGATGGTCCGTCAAATGCCATTATCCTACACGAAGACAAACAGTATTACCCCACGGCGCAACAAGTATATGGCGATGAGGTCGAAATTCTGGTTCGGGAAGAAGACGAGCAATTGCTCACGGAACCCATCGTCGCGCCAGTCGAGCAGAAGAAGTTCAACATCGAAGAGGCCGACCTGCCTCCCGTCTTCTTCGATCGCAGCTTCATGACCGATTTAATGAACTTTCCGGAACAGACGCGCAACATTGCCCTGGCTGGCCACCTGCACCACGGAAAGACAGCATTTATGGACATGTTGGTCCTGGAGACGCACGATATTACCGACAGACTGGAACGCAGGGTGGGCAAGAACCGAGACGAGCAACTCCGATACACAGATGTCCACACTCTCGAGCGCGAACGTGGACTCTCCGTCAAGTCTTCACCCATGAGCTTGGTGTTGCCGGGCACCAAGGGAAAGTCGCACCTTATCAACATCCTCGACACGCCGGGACACGTGAACTTTGTCGATGAAGTGGCAGCCGGCTTGCGACTTGTGGATGGTGTCTGCCTGGTGGTCGACATCGTTGAGGGTGTTCAGGTCAACACGGAGAAAATCATCAAGCACGCTGTGCTGGAGGACATTCCTCTCACGTTGATCGTCAACAAGTTTGATCGCCTGATCTTAGAGCTTAAGCTGCCGCCCAAGGATGCCTATTTCAAGCTCAAGCACGTCATCGAGGAGGTCAATACTGTCATCGAGAACACAGTCCCCGGCAAAGGCGAGGCAAAGCGTATCAGCCCTGAGAAGGGTAATGTCCTTTTCTCTTGCACCGATATGGGCTGGTGCTTCACGCTGCAGTCCTTCGCCAAGATGTATGCAGACACGTACGGCGGTATCGACACGGATGATTTTGCTAAGAGGCTATGGGGTGATGTCTACTTCAACCCAAAGAAGCGTAATTTCACCAGGAAGCCCGTTGAGGAGGGAGCTCAGCGTTCCTTCGTCAAGTTCGTGTTGGAGCCAATCTACAAGATTTACACACACACAATCAGCGACAGCCCAGAAGATCTGAAGGAAGTATTGGGGGGGCTCGGAATCGCGCTCAAGCCTTCTCAATACAAGGCAGATGCCAAGACTCTGCTGAAGTTGGTCTGTGAACAATTCTTTGGACCTTCCACTGGATTTGTTGATATGGTCGTCCGACACATTCCCTCGCCTCTGGATGGGGCCGAGAAGTGGTTGCAGAAATACTACACTGGTCCTTTGGACACCAAGCTTGCGGAGAGTATGAAAACTTGCAACCAAGATGGCCCGGTTGTGGTGCACATCACCAAGCTGTTCAATACGACAGACGCAAAAAACTTCAACTCGTTCGGTCGTGTGCTGAGCGGAACTGCCCGGCCTGGTATGCAGGTACGAGTTCTTGGCGAAGGATACTCGCTGGATGACGAAGAAGACATGGTCATGGCCACCGTCACGGATGTCTTCATCTCTGAGACGAGATATAACATACCGACGGATGGCGTGCCAGCAGGCAATTGGGTTCTTCTCGGCGGCGTGGATAACTCGATTGTCAAGACGGCTACAATCGTTCCCCCAAAGCTGGATGATGATGAGGACGTGTTCATTTTCAAACCATTGACACACTTCACTGAATCTGTGCTCAAGGTGGCTGTGGAACCTATCAACCCTTCAGAGCTACCGAAGATGCTGGACGGCCTGCGAAAGATCCAGAAGAGCTACCCACTCATCGTCACCAAGGTGGAGGAGTCTGGAGAGCATATTGTACTTGGTACAGGAGAGCTGTACATGGACTGCGTCCTCCATGACCTGAGGCGGCTCTATGCCGACATGGAAATCAAGATCTCTGATCCTGTCACTCGCTTCTGCGAGACCGTTGTGGAGCAATCGGCTACGAAATGCTACGCCATCACACCGAACAAGAAGAACCGCATCACGATGATAGCGGAGCAGCTTGACAAGGGGATATCCGAAGATATCGAGTCTGGAAAGGTGAAGATTCGTGACCCTATTCGCAAGACAGCAAAGTATTTCGAAGAAACGTACGGATGGGACAAACTAGCAGCGAGGAGTATTTGGGCCTTTGGGCCTGATGACACTGGCCCAAACATTCTTCAAGACGACACACTTCCCTCTGAGGTTTGTTGAGCTCTCTCTTCTCCTCCATTTGGACGACGCTAACTTTGTGAAAGGTCGATAAGAAGCTCCTGACTGGTGTCAAAGAAACCTTGCGACAAGGATTCAGCTGGGCAACCAGAGAAGGCCCACTTTGCGAAGAACGTGAGTTCATGAACCCTGCCCAACTTGTCGTCGACGTCTTGTCATGGACTGGAGAGCTGACCGACACTCAATAGCTATTCGCAACACCAAGTTCCGTGTGACGGACGTTGCTCTCGCGCAGGAAGCAATCTTCCGTGGTGGTGGCCAGATCATCCCCACATCACGCCGCGCCTGTTATTCTTCCTTCTTGATGGCATCACCACGCCTGATGGAGCCCCAATACGCTATTTCTGTGACTGGGCCCGAAGATTCAGCAACTGAGGTTTACACCGCCCTTGCTCGTCGTCGCGGTCACGTTCTTTCAGATGGTCCTATACCCGGTACCCCATTGTATCGTGTGAACGGACTGATCCCCGTCATCGACTCATTCGGCTTCGAAACAGCCCTACGAATCCAGACACAGGGGTCTGCAATGGTCAGCATGACCTTTGACAGTTGGAGCATCGTGCCAGGCGACCCGCTTGACAAATCTGTCATGGTGAAGCCCCTACAGCCTGCAACTGCTCAGGCCACGGCGCGTGATTTCGTACTGAAAACGAGGAGGAGAAAGGGCCTTAGCGAGGACGTCAGCGTTGCGACGTTTCTAGAGCCTGAATTCTACCAGTCACTGATGGAGAACGGAACGCTGGAGTCTTAGGAGACGGACAGCAATATGGCCTCTAATCTACGTCAGGTGAAGATGGAATGACTGGCTGTTCGGCGTAACGGGGCGTGGGAATGCCATGATCGGACTGAGAGGGATATTCTGTACTACAAAACACAACACTTGAGTCCATCTGATCCATCATTGGCCGTGCAATGGACACGTTGGCAATACTATCACGCGGATCAGGCTCAGGAGCGCAGACGCAAAGCAAGATACTCCGTCCGACGTGTGCTGGTGCCACGCAGAAAGCACCTGCCGACTTTCGAAATGGCTGTGGCGTCGACGCTGAGCTGCATTGATCTACAGAGCCCTAACGGTATCCCTTTGGCCCCGAGAGAAACGCCGCTTGCGATGACGACGTAGTCGATAAACGTGCATCTACTCTGGAAACCTTGACTCCACCCAACTGCAATAGGCGCGCAAGAGAATGATTCTAGCAGATTCGGCCGCCTATCTCTCTTTCAGCGTGATCAACGGCGAGAGGAACTGGGGAGTCGTGCGGAGGTCGCAGGCGGCGAAGCCGTCGGCTGGCAAGACTGGCATTCTGTCCGACCCCCCCCCCCCCAGAGACCTGGGAAAGATGGCAAAACATAGAGCCATCACTTCATGCACATGCCTGACATGAATAAGACACACGGGAGGCAGTGACCGAGGCGGCTCCCCCGCAAGTGTTTCGATCCTGACTCATATGCCATATAGCAGGCGCTGTTATGGCCACATGCACTCCAGTTCTGGCCACCGACTGTCACCGACCAGGGTCGCCTCTCCCACCACACCGGAGGCGGCGGTCTCCGAGCCTCCTCGCCAGCCACACTATTAATCGCATCTGAAGGCACTCGAACCATCGAGACTTTGGCCTGCCGCGTCAGCCAGCAGTCTTCCTGCTTCTGAACGTGCCGACAATCTAGCACACTTTCCTATTGTGCACTTTGTGCGCGTTGACCTTGAGAGAAGTGCCGGGGCCCAGTCCAAATGCCGGGAAAACAGACCGCTAGAACCGTTCGTTCTTCCGAGGCCGACAGACTTTTCCGGGTTTCTATTTTAGGCAGGGTGCATCTTGTAATGACCTTTGTAATGCCCTTATGGCGACAAGCCGTGGCACCATTGGAGGGTTATAACGCCACGACGCAACAGGAACAACTTTCGTGAGCAGAAGTTGTTCTTGGACCGCATTCCGAACTCATTGTGGCTTGTGCTATGTGCCCTGTGGCCTGGTGGGCGAACGGCCTAGACCTTATTGATACCAACCATAGAAATCAAAATCCAAATCATCGAGGCACAATTTCCGTCTCTGGTCGACGATACGTTGGTGCTGTGTTTTGTTTGGCAGGTAATCAGGTACGCAAGCAGCCCAAGTCTCGTCATGTGTCTTTCGGATTTCGCGGCCTTGGAAGCGAAAGGAACAGTAGCATTTATTGCCTCGGCAGCAACACCATTCATTTATCAGAAACGACGTGGGTTCCCTTTCTTTGCCACAGTGAGGCCTTATCGAAACTTGTTCTCGGTTAGCCAGAGGATGGGCCCCCGGCCCGGTTCACAAGATGATTGTGGAAGATCGCTGGCGGCTGGCGATCATGTAACCCCAAAGCGCAAATCTTTTGTTCACCCTGTTCTATCGGGTCAATGAAGTCCGTGGCAGCCAACAGACATAGCTGGGATGATGCACCGCCCTGGCCCTGTTGGCTCAATTACGCCTAAAAGTTTCGAACCATGCTTTGGGGCTTTCCGCGGCTGAAGCTTGTTTCCGGGTCCTCGGAATCGACCACCTACAGCAGCAACGCGAGATATCGATAATGACGAGATGAATGTGAAGTTGAATGTGGTATATTCCCATTTATATCAGACGCATGTTTCAAGCATTTTGTCGAGGACACCTTTCAAGGTGTCATTCTCGACAGCGGCAGCCACTCTCTCCTTGTCGCCGAGCTGCTTGTTAACCTGCTCGTCCTGACTGTGCGTGTTCTCCTTGATCCTCACGTCAATGCGGTAGTTGGGCGGCAGCGCCTGCTCTAACCGAAATCTAATCCCAAGCCCAATGACCGTCGCAAGGGAACAATGTGTGATAGTCGGCGTTACCTCGACCAAGACAGTGATTAACGCGTCGGGGTCCTGCTGAGCCGTTGGCGCCGGTGTGATATAGATGTCAGGGCAAATTGACGACGGCCAGTTGACCCAGGGACAAGGGATGTTCTGGGTCAGAAATCGTTGATATGAGGTCTATGAAACGTCAGTTGCTTGATCCCTGCTGGGGTTATCAACCAGTTCAGGCTAGCTGTGCTCTGTGGCGGACATCGGTCAAGGCTTGAAGGGCGAGAAGAGCCTGCAAAGATAATGCTTTGAGCTCTTCCCGTTCTCATGTGGCATATGGTGCCGCATGTAAAGACGAGTAACTCGACAACTGTTGCGAGACCATGAACATCACAAGGGGTCAGACATGGGTGACCCGCTGAACCACCTTGAAGGGCAGCAAAGCAGTCTCGAGGATGAAAGCTAGCAAAGAGAGAAATGAGCAGAGGGCCGTACCGTATATCTCTTGCTCGTCAATGGGCTCCTGTGTGAACTCCTCATTCGCATCATCCTTGTCGGGCCACAAGAAGTCGTCGGCGTCACAGAAAGGGTGGGATAGGAAGTCAGGCTTGGCCAAGATGATACCGTCGTACTTGTTGTCTGGGCCCTTCCTTGCCAGGTTCTTCTTGCTCTGCCGCGTAGGCAGCTGTGCTGCAGTCAATATGGTCGGGTTCGCATTATCGACGTCTCTGTCCATTGTGGAAGTAGAGGCCTGTTTTGGGAAGGAACGAGATGACGTGGCTGCGAGATTCAATATTCAGAAGATGCCAAGAATGCAACCACACTGATACTGATGATTTGACAAGGGTTGATTGCTGGGTGGTGGATGATACGTGTGTCGACGATTGACATGTGGATGAGTCTTTCTGGCTGGTATCGTGATTCTCCTTGCCGCTTGATGAATGTTCAATATCGCCCCCGCGGTGGGGCCTGTCACTCAGATGGCTCCAGTGACGAGAATTCGTTCATTAGTAATCTCAGGTGGATCTGAGCCGGCCGGTATCGGTTCGGCCTTTAGTACGGTGCACACAATCCTTAACTGTGGCTGGTTCTCAACCCAGGTTCCACGGCTGTCCCAGAAGATCCAGTGCAGCCAGGAGTGGCGCAATCCGGTGGCAGTGGGGTTCAGAAGTCATTCTCACTGGGGCGCCAGCAGATGGTCATTTTCTGCCTTGTCCATCACCCCTGATACTCCTCAAGGGTGGGAAACTCCAAGAACCTCGAGCAGATCATTCAAACAGATCATTGAAGCGAAAGAAGACAGATAATCTCGAGACTTGGCATACACCAGCGAATTATTTGACCTAAACGGATCAGGCAATTTCACATGGGAATCATTTGTTCCCGTGTCCTAATGAAGCCACTGTCATTTCTAAATGGAGCAGACGGGGTCTTCATGGTTCCGACAATGACGACAACCATGTTCAGCAAGCTTGTCAATAGTGTCGCGGCTATTGCTCGTGTTCATTCCCCAGATTCATGCGGCAAAGGGCCCTGGTGCCGTGGCGTCCGATAGCCGCCAAGCTGTCAAGATCAGAATGGGGTCGTGCGAGACGAGCCATCTCGGAACAGAAATGACGGTGATCTCCAGGAACGGAGAGTATGCGTAGCGGGAGGCCAGCTGCCAACCCTGCATCGAACCATGACAGAAGCTTTCTGGAAGCCTGGCGGCCCTTCGTCTCTGCCTCTCGTGTGCGTTCCCGTCCCTGCCTCGCCGGAGCTGTGGTCGGTATCGGTCATGCCCTCCGACCGCCCCTATCGGGCTCGACTTCTGGAAAGGGGAACAAGCCACGGGACGGTACTGCAGCTTAGCGGTCTGAGATACACCAGATCTTCACAGCTGGGCCAACAGCGCATGAAGCATGGCAGCCTTCGGCCGAGAGAGACGAAGGAGAAGAAAACGTGCGCAGAATCCACATGTGAATCGGACAACCTTATTCTGACAACGATGACTGACAGCATGACGCCAGCCTGCATCGCCAACGGGCGCCGTTGAGCGACAGAGTCGGATGACGATCTCAGGTCGCGTATCCATCTGCACCCTAGCGGCTTGTCGGTCTGCGCCGGATTCCGTTACCTACCTACCTATTTGCCTCTTGGTTGAGGATTGAACCTGTTGCTGTGCGTTATCGAGGCACATTGCATATTATCGAATCCAGCAATCCGCACAGCGAGCACTGTAGAATCAAATGACCTGCTTGGTATGGAGTAGCGTCAAATTGCACGATCGTTCATGAGCTCGGCGCAGGTGCCCGCCTGTACACTCCATCCTACCTACCAAATCGACATTTGGTGGCAGCGCGTCTGAACAGCGACAGTCCTCGACGTCCCCTCGCAAAATATGGGCCAAATATGGGGAGCGTCCGGTTTTCATGGAAAAACACCCTACAGAACTTCTGCGTCTCGGTGTGCGGGAGCAGACCCTCAGGCTTGTCATCACTACAATTAGAAACCCCCTGTTCAAAGAGGCTTGCATCACTTCATACTACATCCCTGCAACAATGGGTCCGACTTGCAGGTTCGAATGAATCGCAACGGCATTCTCCATCACTAGCGCACTGATTCCAAGGACTTCGGATTGCCAATCGCCTAGTAGCTGCTCTCACTTGAGAAAGCTAAGACGCGACCATTCGTGGGAGCAGCCGTGGCTTGACACATTTTGGCGAGCCAAACAGTCGGATTTCAGACGTCGTCGTCCACAAAACGGAGATCGAAGCCGTATTTTGCTGAAACCACCATTGTGCCAGCTCCAGGTCAAGGGTTCTTCCATGTGCCCTTGCCGTTTCCTTGGCGCGGCTCTAACGGGAACAGATACGAAGGGGTTGTCAAATTCGACAGTGGACATGCACCACTTTGACGGATTCTCGCTCACGTAAAGATTGACCAAGATGGAGCTAAGAAAACCCCTCATTTCAAGCTGCAGTCGAGGTTGTTGCGGTAAGGAGGCTGGTGGCCAGGGCAATTGATCTAACCTTTGGTCGATGACTATTGTTCCTCGGCACATGCGTCTGGTCCATCGATATGTTGTGGAATTATTGGCTGTCTCTGACATGTGATGGAGCTTTTCCACGCTAAGGAAGCACCCTGCCCCTGAATCCCTCCCACCCCCGGCTCCATTTCGGCAGGTTGACTGGGGGCCCTTCGTCTGCAGCAGGCCCTATTCTGTGATCCCGCCAGTCCAGGACAAGACGGTGGAGGGACAAACGCCGACAGCAGCGCCGTCCAAGACGAGGCGTCGGGCCGGCTTATTGGTGGCATGACTCTGGCTTGTATCTCATCGGACTTAAGATGACGGGCGGATCCATCTTGCAGCAGGAACGGTGTCAGCGGCACGCAGCGCCTGTGACGAACAATGTCTTGTCTGCCGCAGCGAGGCAGATGACTGACACAGGGTAACCGCCCCCTCCCCCCTCAGCCAGCATGGCATCGCCGCCTGTTTGCCTGCAGAGGGGGACATCGCCAGGGGTGAAGGCCAGTATTCCGCCAAACTAACCCCGCGATCCCCACAGCCAATGGCGCAACAGCCAGAACGTCAAGCCAGGTGGCCATCTGATTGCCATTGCCATTTCTTGCACCTGCCAGGTTGCTCGTGACTCGCAGGCTCCGTGTGGTGCGCATGAGAAGCGCCGCGAATGCGCCTGCAACCAAGTCAAGGCATTTGTACCTTGTACTCTGACAACGACAACTCGTCGTCAGCTTGCCATTCGATTCATGTACAGGTGGCAGCTGCAGTGACTACGTCGTTGAAGGACCGAATACAGAGTGCTGGAGTCTTGACTCGAACGCACAACGTGCCGAGCCCCTGGCTGTATGTATAGTAGTCTCGGGGATCAGACCGTGAGCGAGTGTGGATGATATCTCAGCCGGAGCTAGAAACACGCTTGCTCGCCTCTGGGCAACGTCTCAGGTGTAGACACACGCACTTTACCCCCGCCACAGTTCTGGTCTACCTTGCGGTAGACCCAATTTCCATCCCGCCACACGCCGCCCAGCTACCCGTGCCAGTGATCGAGACACTCACTCGAGGGCCTACAACTGGACAGCTAGCGTCTCTCTGCCTGTGGTCAGACGCCAAAGGCCCTAGCTACAGAGGCAGTTGGGGGGAGGGGCCAGCTGGACTTGGACTCACGATCTGACTGCATCAGCTCCCCGCCCGAAGAGTCCAGACCAGTCAGCCAGAATGACAGGGAACAGGGCATCGACAAGGTCGGTTCGTGTTGACCGTGGTGCTCAACCTGCGGTTCCATCACGGTCGATAGTGGGT